TTTCCACAGATGTAATCGATCTGATTCCTATGCATGTTAGCTATTCTAAATTTATAACCAGGAAAGGTCCTGGACTTGTCAAACTAGCTATTATACTCACAGAAAATGTTGTACATCTCACTATCTCTACTTCCTCATCTGTCAGTTATTTCCTGAATCCACTTCAATCAGATTTTCATCCTCTCAAATCCAGAATAGCTACTATTTAAGGTGTCTAATGGCCTCCATTTTCCCTAATTCATGAAAGAAATCCCAGCCTTCATTCTACCTGATCTTTTCAGAGTTATGAAAATGAGAGAACTGGTAACTCTTTCTAAAAATTTCTCTTAGAATGCAAATCAGCACTCTCCTTTGTTCCCCTCCTCTCACTGGTTACTTTGTCCTAGTCTCTGATGTTCCTTTTCCTCTTCCCAACTCACTGTCAAAGTGGTCCAGGGTTCAGTTCACAGATCTGTTCTCTACCTGCACTCAGGTCCTAGGCAATCATCCACTCACATAGCTTTAAATACTACAGTATTATGCCTCTAATATTCAATAGTGATAAAGAAATAAGTTCAAACTATATTGAAGGCCACAGAAAAAAAAAGAAGGGCCCAGGAGTCAGTGAGATACAAACTGAAGTATTTCAACAAACAGTTGCAGCCCTAGATGTTCTCGTCTGTCTTTGCCAAAACACTTGCAAGACAGCTTAATGGCCAACTGAATGGACGAGATCCATGCGGCAAACGCTTAAAGTCCTCTGGAGTTTTGGTGAACAAGGTTGTGTCATTTGCATAATGCAGATTGTTGACGAATCTTCCTCTAATCCTGATGTCACACTCTTCTCCAAAACTTCAGCCTCCCAAATGATCCGTTCCACATACAGACTAAAAAGATATGAAGAAAGGACACACCCCTGACAATGCTCCTTTCTTAATTCTGAGCCATGCAGTGTTTCCTTGCTCTGTTTGGTCTAAGTATAATTTTCACATGACCACATCAAGTGTCTGGTATTCCCATTCTTCTCAAGATTAGACACAGTGTATTGTGAGCCACACAGTCAAATACCTTTCCATAGCCAGTAAAACACAAATAGACCTTTTGTTTGTTTGTTTGTTTGGTACTCTCTGCTTTCAGCCAAGATCCGTCTGACATTGGCAATGATATCCCTAGTGCCATGGCCTATTCTAAACCCAGGTATTTCTGGAAGTTCTGTCAACGTACTGTTCCAGTAATTATTGGATAATACTCTGCAAGATGTTGTTTGCATGTGATATTGTTCAATAATTATGTTTGGAAAAGAGAATAAATATGAATCTCTTCCAGCCAGTTGGCCAGGTACCTATCCTCTAGATTTCTTGGCACAATCTGGTAATGATAATTGGTATTCCATCAATTCCTGAGATGTTGGTGGGGGTTTTTTTGCCAATTCTTTCAAAGCAGCTTGAATTTCTTCCTTCATTATCATTGCTTCTTGATCATATGCTGTTTCACAAAATTCTTCTGTGCCAGCCAATTCTTTTTGGTACAGTGACTTTGTATGCTCCATCTTCTTTTGATGTCTCCTGGATCATATATTATTTTGCCCATAGCATCCTTAAGTATTGAAACTCAAAGCTTGAATTAGGTTTTCAGTTTCTTGAGCTTAGAAATGCTGAGTTAGTTCATCCCTTTTGATTTTCCAACTCTAGTTCTTTGCACATTTCATTATAATACTTTGCCTTGTCTTCCTGAGATATCCTTTGAAATCTTCTATTGTCAAGTTGAGTAGACTAATAGCCACCCTATGAACAAAAGGCCTGAAGCCCCTATACAACTATCAACATTATCAAAGTTCATAGAGTTTCCTGATTTTCCCCCCTTTGCTTTGTCATCTCAGTGTCCTAGTGCAAAGTTCAGTCTCTTCTGACATCATCTTGGTCAGGAGACTGTTCGTAGGCTGGGCCTAGAAGCCAGAGTGGCCACAAGCAGTCGCGCATCAGGAGGCCCAGAGTGCAATCATCAGTGGGGAGCAGAGAGATAACAAGAAGACAGACAAGTCTGGAGGCAAGGGTTAGATCAGGTCTCACTTAGCAGTCACTCACACACAGGGTGAGAAGGGGGGATTCTGGCATGTAGGGCACGGATCACTAAATTTATGTTATGGGGAAATGTCTTTCCCCTATTCTTTTAAGTAAAATGCTTATCTCTCTGAAACTATTTTAAAGCTGAGCTTCTAAACTAATACAGGCTAGGAAGGATTGGCCATCCACTTTCAAATTAACAGGCGTTTGAAAACCCTATGAACAACAGAGTACACTTAAACTATATTGCGCTCCTATCGTGGTTGTGTTGGTGTAGTTATGTGCCATTGTGTCGCCTGCAACTCACAGAAACCCTATATACAATAGCTCAGAAGCCTGTCCTGTCCTGAGCCACTCCTATTATAAGCAAGAGAAATAAAGACCTAAGAGAAATCACTTCATATTTCAGAAAGATTAAGGCAAAATTACAAACTGCTAAATTCAGCTACTGAAATCTGGGCAATGACTAAGAAGGACAGAGACCTGATGCCTTTGAACCACAGTGTTGGAGAAGAGTACTGAATATCCCATGGATGGCCAAAGGAACAAATATATATGTCTTGGAGAAGGTACAGCCAGAGTGCTCCTTGGAGACAAAGATGAGAAAGCTTCATCTCACATTCTTCCAGTATGTTGTTGGAGAGACTGTTCCTTGGAAAGGGACATCATGCCTGGGAAGGTGGAGGGAAAGCAAAAGAGAGGAAGACCTTCAACCAGGTGGATTGACACAGTGACTGCAGCAATGTGCTTGAGTGTGTCAGAGAGAGTGAGGATGGTACAGTATAGGACAGGGTTCAAGATGTGTTGTTCACAGGGTCACTATGAGTTATATTCAACTCAACAGCACCTAACAACCACAAAAGATAAACCTCATACTTTTGCAAGCTATCTCTCTTATGTTATGTGGACAAGGAGAAAAGATACTAAAAATACAGTATTGAAATATTAGCCTGTATAATTTTAAAAGTCAGATCAAAGCTGAGTATCATAAATGCCTAGATTCAGAGTTCTGGTTTTCTTTAACATGTGAGTGAAGCTGCAGATTATAAAAATATCGGACCCTACACAACACATTAAATAAAATGACGTTAAGCCTACAACCCAGGTATATCTCAGGATTCAGGATGAAGGATAAGAGTGATAAATGTGGGCTCTATACTGCGTAACGAATATAATTACTACTATCTCCTGCTTTTCTGAACTAGAGCTACATTTATGATTTTTTAGCTTCTCCCATCACATCTAGAAGGAGTATGAATATTAAAGGGTTTAAACACACACACACACAGTTTTCTAGTTAAGTTTAACTATTTCATTAATTTTTCAGAATCTACTATAAAATCGATGGCACACAACAACAACTATAAAATTACTTCTGGAAATGAATTTTGACTAGCACATTCTATATGGTTTATAAGTTCTCAGGAGGTGGTTTTGTTTGTTTCTGTATGTGATTTTAATTACCCGCAGATGATGTGCATTTTTAGCTAACATTTCATCTACCATCCCAAAGAGGTGATTTTATATTCAATTGCCCAGTGAGTTCACCCGGGATCCTGTAAGAGAATCAGTCAATGTTACTTGTAGGAGTGTCTCTTACCTCTCGTGGCTTACTGGCGATGGCAATGCTTCCATCTTTGTTATATTTGATTGGTGAACCTCCTTCTTGTATCAGGGTCCCATAACCTGTGCTGGTGTAAAACGCAGGAACTCCAGCTCCACCTGCACGAATCCGCTCTGCAAGTGTGCCCTGAAAATGAGTAGCAGGCAACATCACCATCCCAAGTTATTTAAGCACACCTCTGTGTGCAGACACAGAAATGCTTAGAGATGCGGTCTCAAACTGCTGAGGAAGCTCTTACCAGAGTACACTACCAATGCAAAGGTACAGGGTTCAGATCCACCAGCTGCTCTGTAGGAGAAAGACTGGCACTCTCCTCCTGCAATTAACTGCCTCTGAGAACCCGCTGGAGGCTTAGCTATGGGTCCGTTCTAACAGCACACAGTACCCAACAACAACTACCACTTGCTGGACCACACAGAGCAAACCAGTGCTTCAGATTCAAGACAGTACCACCTCCTTCAGAGAAGGCCAGCACTCTACAGAGTTTTCAATATCTGTGACTTTCTGGAAGCTCCTCACCGGGCTTTATTCCCATGGCACTGCTGCATGGATTTAAACCACCAACCTTTCAGTTGGCAGCAAGTGCACCCTCATTCGCCCCAGCAAGGGATTCCTTCCTCTCTAGCCCACTACTGTGGCATCAGTTCTGACTCACAGCCAGTCTCTCAAGTCTAAGGATTTCAGATACTGAAGCATGCAAGTAGTTGGGATATTCAGGGGAGAAGGGCTTGCAACATGTGAGAAAACTTTCCAGATAACTTGGTTCACTATTTGCACATACAGAGATAACTCTTTTTTTAAATTGAGATTTTACTGAAAGTTTGTAGAGAACTTGAATTTCCATTCATTCATTGCTGCACATTTTCCTCCCTTGCTCACCCCTTCCCCCCAGTATGCTTTCTTCTTTGAAAAGAAAAAAATTCTTTCATTGTTCTACAATAACTCCACCCCAGTCCACTTTATTATGCAGCTCTTATTCTGGACTCTTGTCATGCAAATAATGCCTTTTAAACAGTTATCTCCCTTATCTGTTTCAATGCAGTGTATATTATTTATCCCCTCTTTTCTTAGTTTCCCCCCAACCCAGATGTCAGTCCTGCTTTATAACAGTGGCATTATGCCATATTTGTCCTTTTGTGACTAAGATATTTCACTCAGCATAATGTCCTCCAAGGTCACCCATTTTGTGTAATATTTCATGAGTTCCTTGTTTTTCAATGCTGCATAGTATTCCATTGTGTGACTATACCACAGCTTCTCTAGCCATTAGTTTTTTTGATGGACACTTGGGTTGTTTTCCAACTCTTTGCTAAGAGCAAAGAACAAAGCAACTTTGAACAAAGAAGCAATAAACATAGGCGTGCATATATCTGCTTGGGTGGCATTTCTGGTTTCTTTAGAGTATATTCCCATCAATAGTGGACCTGCTGGTTCGAATGGTATTTTTATTTCCAACTTTTTTGAGAAAGTGACATACAGCCTTCCATAGTGGTTGCACCATTTTACACTACCACCAACAGTGAATAAGGGTTCCAGTTTCTCCACAACCTCGCCAGCATTTTTTGTTTGCTGTTGTGTTAAATTTTGCTATTCTTACTGAGGTGAGATGATATCTCATAGTTATTTTTATTTGCATCTCTTTTAGAGCTAGGGATTTTGAATAATTCTTCATGTGTTTGTTTGCTATCTGAATGTCTTCTTTGGTGAAGTGTCTGTTCATATCCTGTGCCCATTTTTCAATTGGGTTGTTTTCTTTTATCTTGTTGTGGTGCTCAAGTATTCTATAAATTCTAGATATAAGTCCTTTATCAGAGAAGTCATTACCAAATACTTTTTCCCAGTTTGTGGCTCTCCTTTTCTTGTTGGAGAAGTTTTTGGATGTGCATAGGGATTTGATTCTTAGAAGGTCCCATTCATCTATTTTATCTTTTCCTGGTTATAGGTTTTTCAGGATGCTTGGAAGACAGTTTAAGTTGTGGATCAGGACTTCTAGAGTTCTTCCAAGCTTTTCTCTAACGAAGTTTATAGTCCTTAGTTTTATAGAGATAACTCTTTTTGTTGTCGATAAGTCTGATTTTAATATTCCTAAAATTAGTTAATTAAGACAGTTATAAAACAATATCCATTACTTTCAAATTTGCATCAGAGAGCCGGACAATGACTAGGGATGATAGAAAGAGAATTGATGGCTTGGAGCTGTGGTGCTGGAGAAGAGTATTGAATATACATGGACAGCTAAGAGAATGAAGAAGGTTCACCCTGGATAGGGTTAAACTAGGTTGCTCCTTGGAGGCAAGGATTTTGAAGCTTAGTCTGACCTACTATGGACATATTGCAAGAAGAGACAAGTCCTTGGACATCATGCTTGGGAGGGTGGTGGGACAGTACAGGAGGAGAAGACCCTCAATGAGATGGATTGGTTTGGTAACTGGGTAGGTGTGTCAGAGACAATAAGATTGGCACAGGGTAGATCAGGGTATAGGGCTATTGTACATAGTGTCGTTATGAGTCACAGGCCACTCGATGGCACATTACAACAACAGTCCCAAATGGGAGCTCTGGTATATTAGTGGCAAGAAGCTGCACTGCAATCCAGAAGGCACATGGTTCAAGGCCACCAGCTGCTCTAAGGGCAACTGTGGGCATGTGGTTCACCATTAATCAGCATCTTAAACATCATCAACAGCTGTAAGGGCAACATAAGGGAGAGAGCTAACCCAACTAAACAGAGATTTTGGTGAGGCTTAGCCTGATGGAGCCCTGGAGATGGAGTTAAAGGTTTTGCTTGCTGGATGACTGGAGGAAGAGCTGACATGTGACTGCTGTGAGACAAAGCTTGTTAGACAACTGAGGAAACAACAGGCTTCTTGCATTTGTGTTGCTGGACTGAACCTGGACTTTCACTTGCTGATAGGAAGATGCCTGAACTAATTGAGAAATTGTGACTTTCTGCTAATCTGGCTTGGGGCTGCTGTTCACTAAATCTGGACTTTGTGATATCTGTGTGATATCCTTTGCCTCTTTTATGCCCTCCCCCCAAGCCTATTTCACTAATAAAGCCCACAACTGTGAGTAAAGTCAAGTCTGTGAGTCAGTTTGCCATGAACACTGGACCCAGTGATTAGGAGAGGTAGATGAAGGCGCTCTCACGGGGAGTGGGTGCACGTCTGACCTTGTAACTATTTGTGTGGTACTGTGGATTTTACTGATGAGAACAGCTCCACTTTGTAGAATTAACAGTGGTCAGACAAAGTCATCCTAATACAGCATTTGCTCTTTTCGCAGTGTGAAAGTAGGATTGTTCTGTAGATAAACCCTATTCATGTACCAAGCCCCCATCCGCCTTCTTCCACTTCACTAACAGCTTCTCCACAAGCTTGCAGGTTGCAAAACAAGTGGCCAGAGCCATGATGTATTTACAAACCTTTATTTTAGATAAAGCAGAAAACACTAGCCTTTCACAGTTTAAAGAATTACTGTAAGCACAATATTAAGGCTGTGTTTTCCTATTCAAATATCCTCTGATAAAAAGAGATGATGCAAAGGGTGACTAAGTTAACAATCAAAAGCTTCATAACACATGGGATAAAGCATCTCTGTCTATAATGCAAAGAGGAAAACTGTATGTTTTTTGGTTTCCCAAATTTAGTCAAAATCTAACATATACCAACATAGAGCAACACCCTGATGAAGCATGGTTAACAGCGCTACACAATGTGTGGATGCCGCTGTGGCGAACATCGCGAAGCCTCAGAAAGAATGGTTCTCTCATAGAGAGTTTCTGGTGGTCTAATGGCAAGAAGCTGTACTACAATACCAGAGGTAAGTCGTTCGAATCCACCAGATGCCTTGCTGGAGAAGGAGGGAAAATCTCCTCCTGTACCAATCAGATCTGATTTGACAGTACACACACACAAAATAATAAAAATAAAATAAAAAATAAAAAAAAAAAGAATGGTTCTCTCATGGACATGTTCTGGGCTAACTTAGGTAGTTCTTGCTGATAGGTGACTTTAAGTCAATTCCAAGACACAGCGTCCTTAAAGCAGAATGTCCTCCTATGGTTTCCTTATCTGTAGTCCTTACATAAGCAGACTGTAAGTCTTTCTCCCATAAAAGCCACTAGGTGAGTTGGAACCACACACCTTTATTTAGCAGGTGAGCACATGCATCTTACGCTCCCAGGACTCCTGCAGCCAAGCACAAACTGATTAAATTACTGAACACCCAAAAACATCCATCACATTGATATTTACAACTGGGTGAAGTTAGTGAAAAGAATATTATCTGTGGGGAGAAGAAAGCTACAGGTGGGAGGAAGTTGATCCTATCAAAATGGAAAGCCAGGGTAAAAAAGGAGGTCAGAATTGCTTCCACTGCCGAAAGCTGGGCCACTTCAGTAGACAGTGTCACAGACGAAAGCCAAAAATAGGCAAGGGAGTAGAGAGGAAGCTCCCACTCACTTGCTTAAAGTGTGGCTCTGAAGGACACTTGGCCAAGGTGGCCCACATCAGGTCCTCGTGACAGACAGGACTGACAGGCCCCGGCTCCCAGCTGGAAACAAAGGAGGATGCTTCAACGATTTAGATCCTCCCAGAAGAGCTGTGGGTGAGCATTAACATTACTGGTAAGTATATTCGTTTTCTCCTGACACAGAGCCTACTAATTGGTCCTAAAAGGCTTCTGAGGTCCCATTCTTCTCACTATTTTGTAGTTGTTGGAATGGACGGAAAACCTCATAAGCAGATCCTTACTTCACCTCTACCTTGCATGCGAACTTCTGAGTTGTGAAACAACCCAGTAGTAGATGGAATTTGCTCCAGGACTTAAGAACCATAAATGACATAGCTGAGCCTCTACATCTTGTGGTTCCTAACCTGTACACTATAATAGCCAAAGTGCTAGTCTATAGGCCTTTTAATGTAAGAACCACCTTACCTCTGTAACTTTATTTGTGCTACTATTAGAACCTCTACTTGGAATATTATTGCTTTTTCATTTTTGACTCATGCACTTTTAACTTGTTAGTTAAATTTGTATCTTCTAGGCTGCAACACTTCCATGATACATCTTCAAGGATATGAACATGTACGGCTAAGCACAACTGATAACAGTGCATCTAAATTCCAAAATCAATCTCCATAATAGTCTATGTGTTTCCTACTGCCAATGGGGCTCTTTAGAGTAGTGAGAGAAGATCTTCACCCTGAAACCCACAGCGTCCCTTTTCAGCAAGAAGTAGCTAAGAGAATACACCATCCCCTTTTCCTTATGAATCAGGGTGAAGTCTCTCTCAGGGAGGAGTGATAGGGAATGGCAAAGGACACACTGACAAAGGAGATTAATCAGAACTGGCTTTGACAAGCACTGTGGCAATTGGACAATTAAAACAGACATTTGGGAGAGGAAAGAAGAATGAACTGGGGAGGAGGGTGGAGAAAACAGTACAACAATGAATGAATGAAAACACAAAATCTCTGTAAATGTTCATTAAAACTAAGAAAATTTAATAATAATAAATAAATAAAAGAAAGCCAACAAATGCAACCTATGGACCTTTGTTTTACTCAAAAGGCTTGAAAGACTTTGCCTGCTTCTATAGGAAACTCTTCAATCAGTTGGACGTTGATGTAGAAGGTTAGTGGAAATCTGTTGTCTTCCCTGGAGACATTGCTTGTCTTGTAATAAGACCATAAGGTAATAAGGTCCCAGGAGACCAGGATTCCCGTGACACCACACTGGTATCTGCTATGAATGTTACTCTCCTGAGGTACAAGAAGAGGAAGCAAGCCTAGATCACTGACAAGGCACGCTCCTTCCTAACATTTTACGATTTGTTCAAACACTTTCAGCATGACCTTTTGCACGTTGCTTGCACACTATGGGGAGCAGTGATGTAGTCCATAATGAGTTGTGCTGCTAACCCACACGCTGTGGTCCACCACCAGCAACTCCACAGGAGCAAGATGGGAAATTTCTTCCTGTTGCGAATTACATCGTGAGAAACCTTATGAAAATTCAGCTGTGAGTCGGAAATTACACAGTATCAGCTGAATTTGAATTTGTGGCTTTTTTGTACAATATTTTGTTAACACTTGTCTTTAAAATATAACCCTGTAAGCTAGCTCTTTTTTGTTAGAAATACTTCCTTTTTCAGTGTCACAATGACATTGTATACCAATCCCCTAGCCAATCAGCAGGTATGACCTATGAACAACATGCTTGGGTTGGGCATCTTCTCTGCCAAGCACACCGTGTTACACAAGGATGTTTCTAGAAAGTAATGTAAGTTTTTCTATAAATCATTGGTGTCATGTGCAATTGAGTCAGAACAGACTATAGATGACCCTCCACCAGGTTTTCAGAGGCAATTAATTGCACAGAAGGAAACTGTCCATCTTTCTTCCACAGAGCAGCTGGTGGATTCAAAATGCCTGCCTTTGGATGAGTAGCAATTTTCTTAGCTCCAGGCCACCAGAGTTAGTATTGTAGAAAATAAAACGCAGCTTCTCTCGCATCGGGAACTCATCTTACCTGAGGTGTCAGCTCCACTTCTAATTCACCAGCTAAATACTGCCGTTCAAATTCTGCATTTTCTCCCACATAAGAAGAGACCATGCGTTTTATCTGCTTGGATTGAAGTAAAAGGCCCAAACCGAAGTTGTCGACCCTGGAGAAAAAATAAAGATGGCCTACAATCAAAAGGGTGCAATTCTAACTGAACATTATCAAAAGAAATGAAATTTACTTTAAAAGAAATGAAATTGTATTAATTTGGAGTGGGGAGAAAAATCCTTTGTTGAGCATTTAACTCATATATTCTCTTAGTCCTGACTGCTACTTAAAGAACCTTGTAAGGTGGCTATCCCTTTCTCATTTTACAATCAAGGAAACTAAGCTCAAAGTTAAAGTCTTGTGCAATAAGTGATGCTGCTAGCATGCAAGCCCATATAAATTTGACAAGCCTACACTAAAATTTCACTTCTTTTCTCCGCTCCACAAAGATTCTGGAGTAGAATATGAACTCAGAATGGACTGGTTCCTACCCTGTTCAAGTATTTTGAGCAAGTAATCCAAGAAACTGGACTATACAAAGAATATGGCATCAGAAATAGAGGAAGACTCATCAACAATCTGCGCTATGCAAATGATACAATCTTGCTTGCCCAAAGTGAAGAGGACATGCAGCACTTACTGCAGAAGGTCAATGATGACAGGCCTCCATATGGGTTACCTTTTAACATCAAGAAACCAAAATAAACAACACTGAGATAAACAGAGAAGATAAATGGAGAAGAAGCTGTCAAGAGTTCATTTCATTTGAATTCACAATGAACATCCATAGAAGCGGTGATTAAGAAACTCAATGATGCGTTACATTAGGAAAACTGTCAAAGGCTTCTTAAAAGTGCTAAAGATCAAGAATGTCACTTTAAAGTCTAAGGTGGAACTGACTCAGCCAGGTGAAATCTAGTCCTAGATCAAGAAGCTGTTGTGTGAAAAGAATAAGGGAATATAGCATGGTTTAAAATCAGGAAAGGTGTGCTTTTTCCATTATCTATTCAACTGGTTACTCATAGAATCTCTCTGAGACAATTCAATGTCACCTAACACCACCACCAGCATTCATCGGTATACTGAAAAATCATCTGAAAAGATGGACCAAAGGAAGAAGAATATGGGTGGCATCAGGGTTGAAGGAAGACTCTTCAACAACCTGAGTTATGAAAAATGGCACAACAATGCTTGCTGAAAGTAAAGAAGACTTGAAGTACTCACTGCAGACAATAAAACACTTTAGCGTTCAAGATGGATTCCATCTCAACATCAAGAAAACAAAGGTCCTCACCACTAGACCAATACACAACATTATGATACATGGGGGAAAAAAAAGGCCAGGGAGCTCTGGTGGCCTAAAGGCAAGAAGCTGCACTGTAATCCCAGAGGTACACGGTTCAAATCCACCAGATGTTCTGCTGGAGGAGGGACAATCTCCTCCTGTACCAGTCAGATCCGATTTGAC